CCCCCCCCCCCAACCACATTATCACTCTTGATACTGGTATTCATACTGAAATGACATCAAATGACTAGTTATTCAGTGCATTTCGCTATGCCTCCCGGATATGTGCCAATGCAAACCTGGCCATGCTCGTGACTCAAGGGGTGTCTGTATTCCGATGGCTAGCTGCCCTGCAAGTATGTTACCGATCTCAGGCATTTGTTTGATTTAATCCCTATTTTCCAAAAGACTGGTGACGCCTTGTCCCTGTTGTAGGGAGTGACTTTGCTATTGACAACACAACTTGCCCCGCCAACGAAGAATTTACACATTGTGGATCGGCATGTGAGCCCTCATGCCAAAATCCCAACCCGGTGAGTTACGCATTCTGGTTCGAAAATCGCAAACGAAGTGTTTTGAAGGAAATAGAAAAGTAACGGACTTTTCAGGAATTCTGCACTGAGCAATGTGTCGCGGGATGTCAGTGCAAGAAGGGATTCTACCGTAATGACGAGAACGTTTGTGTGTCGGAGTGCTCTGGTTGGTACATAGTAGTGCTTGTTTCATTATTCTGAACGAATAGTGTCCCACTAACAATCATACTTCCTCCCTTCCAAAGCCACATACCCACACCCCCTTACCCTTCTCCCCTCCTCTTGGTATACCTGTCTTGGTCTGTCGAGTTGAAAAGGTGAAAGGAGAGAGGGAGGGAAGGGGAGTAGAGTCCCTCTCAGATTTCTAATTCTGGGCGGAGAGGAGGCAGTATCAGGAGGCCCATTCTCTTGTGGGAAGAAATGCAGAAACGCAGTTAATCGCAGTATCCAACTATTTACGTTGAATACGAAATGATTCGATTTTTTGGGAGGAGAGTTAAGGTTCAATAGCGGTCAGAAGCCCTGGTCTGTATAAGCTCTGCGAGACGTATGAACTGCTTGTACGCTTTCCTTCAAGTTTTTAGGCGCTCCTCAGTCCACGTGTGACAACGTCAAGTGTCCTGCGGGTACTGAATGTCATCAGGTGCCGCTGAATTGCCTCCTACCTCCGTGTCCACAACCACCGCCAAAGTGTGTTAAGAAAGGTAAGTTCTTTTTACCTCTTAAGCAGTGCGACTAATTCATCTCAGTAGTGCACCAATCGGACCGTCGAAAAGTATTAACTCCAGTATCACATTGCCGGGTTCGAATTCCGGGTTCATACTCGCCCATGTCAGCAGAGCCTTAGGTACCTCCAGAAGCGATAGATCGAGATATCAGATTTTCCGCTGCAGATGCGTAGGTATAAAATGGCCGAATCGTAAATAGGCTGCCTCAAATCACTCCATGGGCCACACACAGTAGCGCTCAAAAGTTTTCAGTGGAATGCCTTGACGCTTTTTCGTACTTAATTTTTTTCTTGGTGGAGCAGATTGCGCGAAATTTGGATATGTTCAACTAGAGCATATTTCACCCTACCCGACACTATTTGACTGCGAAGCTGCAACATCCACAGATAGAGCAAGGTGTTTGTTGCGGTAGCACATTTTGCTGAAACTAAAGTTGTTGACGTCTGCACTTATTCGCCCTTTATGT